AAATTCAATTTTCCATTGTGCACGCTGGTGACGTAAGCAAACAAATGCCTCGCGAAAAATAATTTCTCTCGCGAGTGACTTCAGCAGTTTTCATTATAAAACGGAAAAAAAAAACTCCGCAAAAAAGTTACACTAGACATGGCAACAAGCGAACAAGCCAAAGAAGATCTGCCTACTTTTTCTCTGGGAATAGATTTTTTAACTCCCGAGGAAGAACCCAGAGAAAGGGAAAACAAAGCAATCAACGATTTCATCTCGTTCCGGAACTCTAATATGGCAAGCCGTTACTGCCAAAAGCCATTCGAGTTTTAAATCTTGGTCCAGCCGCTTTCAGCATTGGCGAGTTTCAAATCTTAAATAACGAGCTTAAAAGACCTCTAGGTGAGTTTAGTAAAGCGATGGTTGAGTTTTTTTTGGAAAGCTTTAGTTCTCGCTAGCGAGTTTTTAATTTCTCGCTAGCGAGTTTTTTATTTCTTGCTAGCGAGTTTTTGATTTCTCGCTAGCGAGTATTTTAATTCTCGCTAGCCGAGTTTTTAACTTCTCGCTAGCGAACTGGGAGTGTATAAAACTCCAGGGCAGATCCAGGATTTAGTCGGGAGGGTTCGGAGAATTGCCCTGGGGCAAGCTCCCCCGGGAGATTTTGAAAATTAGGCCTTCGGAAACATGATTTCCGGCATTTTAAAGGGATAATTTAAGGGGGTTGGACCGAACCACCCCAGCAGCTGTGTGACATTTTCCCGCCTTTTTCCCCCGAACCACCGAGGTGTCAGCCGGCAGCTGTCAGGTTCTCGCTCGAAGCGAAAGTGAAGCAACATTCTGTAAGCTTAAAATTATGAATCCTGTCGTAAGACAAATCCTTGATAACATCGGTAGATTGTGGCAGTGTTTTAAGAGAATCTAAGGTAGGCTAGCCACTGTTTTTGCCCATTTACTGACAGTTGCTGTTGCCATAGAGGATAAGAAGTAACATAAAAAAAAGTTCCCATATTGTACAATACTTGGTGATGGCTAGCGAAGATGTTTACTTCTACGTATGATGCACGATCCTCGCAGTAGAGAGCGCTATTTATGCAATAGCGAAAATCAGACCTGAAAAAGATCAGGCCTGTACGGGATTCGAACCACCGATCTCTGCGATACTAGTGCAGCGCTCTACCAATTGAGCTAACAAGCCAAATGAGAGCTGGCCGTTAAGTTGCAGGCAGTTTGGTTCACGCTCATTGCACACTCGCCTCTGAATTACACTGCTCCTACGAGCTGCCCTACCCACAGGGTCTATGGCTTGAAGCCTTTCTCTAATTCTCCAACGATGAGTTCGTGCGCCTCTGAAACTGAATTCCACGTATGTAACTCTCTCCAGCACGGGGAGTTACTGTTATAATCGACTTGAGAAGTTCATCTAGTTCCGTGTTCGAAATCTCTGAAAAACTTCCATCCATATCAAATTCCTGAACTCGTCTGTACAGAGTTCTTTCACTGACATTCAAACAGGTAGGAAATTTTGCCCAGGTCATCCCAGTCTCGCGGAGATTCACGAGCTGTTCTCTAGTTGTTACAAACTTGGGTCGACCTTCTGTTCTCTTAAGAGGTAAATCATAACCAGATGTCTGGCCAACAGATGGTTGCTGTTTCTCTATTTCACTGGATATGTTCTTTAGCTTATCGTATGATAAATCATACAGCATTCTTAATGTTCTGTACTTTCACAAATTTCTAGCTTGAAAATCATTCCAAGCAATATAGTAACATAATCTTCCAGTTTCCTTTCCAAGTATTCTGTCAAAAAGTTGTCAGCATCGGAATGTAACTGTTCTAAAAGATCATTAAAACCAGTAAAAAAATCACCAAGGTCTTCCTGGCCTTCGTTGGCTGAGCTTAGAACATCAGCCATATTGAATGATCGCTATCCATTAACCCCCAGGACTAAGCAATCGCCTTCTAAGTAAAGACCTGGGAGGGAGGCCTGGCCAAAAGTCGCTTGAGCGAGAAATTGAAAACTCGCTTGAGCGAGAAATTGAAAACTCGTTAGCGAGAAATTGGAAACTCGCTAGAGAGAAATTGGAAACTCACTAGCGAGAATTTGAAAACTTGCGAGCGAGAAATTGAAAACTCGCCAGCGAGAAATCGGAAACTCGCTGGCGAGAAGTTGCAAACTCGCTAGCGAGAAATCAAAACCTCGCTAGCGAGAAATCGAAAACTCGCTAGCGAGAACTGAAGCTTCCCTAAAAAAAACTCAACCATCGTTTTATTGAACTAACCTATAGGTCTTTTAAGCTCGTCATTTAAGATTTGAAACTCGCCAATGCTGAAATCGGCTGGACCAAGATTTAAAACTCGAATGGCTTTTGGCAGTAACGGCTTGCCATACATTTCCCTATTAGAATACATGACAAGCCCCATGACATCAAACTGTCACCCGCGCTGTTTTAAAAAACTCCATGCCATGTCAGCTTTCTTGATACAGAACTAAGAGTGCTACCAAACGATGTTGGTGAAATTT